GCAGCTGTGTGTGAATCAAGGGCAGGATTTGAAGAGGTAAAACACTGTATTAGAGAAAGAATGAGGAGCAGAAGACCAAATCAAAGGAGACAAGTAGAGACATTTCACAATGCTGCTAATCAACAGGATCTGAAAACAAAGTTCAGCATGGTAATTTCCTCAAATTGGAAAACAACCTCTCAAAATAAAAACTTGAGAACTAAGTTTTTATCTCTCATACCATTTTATTTTACCATACATGCACTACTTGAAAACAGCCCTTTCTGTTCTCTTTCAAAAGGCAGCATGTATACCTATGCCTTATAAGCATATCTCCGTGTCATTCCTTCTTCACCGATTCCGTCCACACTTTTGGGGACCCCTGGAACTGCTGGGGCAGGACCCCGGCAGCTCAGTAGGGTATACAGAAAGTAAAAAAAAAAAAAAAAAATTATAATATAGTAAAGTAAATGCAATAACAAAACCACATGTAAGACAGAGAGGCAAAAATCAGTACCTTAACTCAGTATGGGGGAGGATGTTGGCAAGATCTTTTTGGATGAGGTTGTGTCGCGATGGGTTTTTAAAGTTGAAGTTAGCCAGCCAGAAAAGGAGAAAGGGCATTATAGGATTTAAAAAGGACCTGTTTAATGGTCACAAAAACATTAAAGGGGCATGGTATGTTTGGGAAGCCACATGAAGTTTAGCCCTACTAAACACAGTGCAAGTTGGGGAACAACAGATGAAGCTGCAGACAGACGTTAGCAGAGCCTAGATTTTGAAAAGCCTTATACATTCCATGGCAGCTACTGCATTTTAAAGTCTTGGGGATGCCCAGCCAGTGTGGCTCAATGGTTGAGCATCAACCTATGAACCAGGAGGTCATGGTTCTATTCTCGGTCAAGGCCGGGTTGTGGGCTCCCCAGTGTGGGGAGCGCCAGGAGGCAGCAGATCAATGATTCTCTCTCATCATTGATGTTTCTATCTCTTTCTCCCTCTCCTTTCCTCTTTGAAATCAATAAAAATAAACAAAGTCTTGGGGATGGAGGGAAGAAATGGAAGCCTTATGAATACATTAAATTTGAATACAGAATTTGCCCAGCCAGCAATATGGCTCAGTGGTTGAGCATCAACCTATGAACCAGGAGGTCAAGGTTTGATTCCCGATCAGGGCACATGGCCAGGCTGCAGGCTCAATCCCCAGTATGGGCATGCAGGAGACAGCCAATGAATGACTCTCTCATCATCGGTGTTTCTATCTCTTTCTCCCTCTCCCTTCCTGTCTGAAATCAATCAAAACATTTTTTTAAAAAGTAGAATTGATTTTACCCTAAAAATAAATCCCATTTTTCTTTTCTTGAAAGATCTATAATTATTTGCATACTTACTTATATTTTATTTTTTGGTAGAGCATGCCTGCTCATTTGAACAGTAAACTTGCGTTATCCAACCCTCAGAGCCTTTCTGCATCTGTGAGTTACTACTTGAGTTTCCATTCAGCAAACCATGCTCTTCTCCACACTGGCCTCATGACTCCAACTCTAAACTGAAGGCCAGTTGTGGGCTGTTACTTAAAGGAGCACTTTTAGTAACTGCAGGGACCACTAACTAGAAGATCCGCTGTTGGGCTAGATCAGCGGTTCTCAACCTGTGGGTCGCGACCCCTTTGGCAGTCGAACGACCCTTTCACAGGGGTCGCCTAAGACCATCCTGCATATCAGATATTTACATGACGATTCATAACAGTAGCAACATTACAGTTATGAAGTAGCAACGAAAATAATTTTATGGTTGGGTCACAACATGAGGAACTGTATTTAAAGGGCCAGAAGGTTGAGAACCACTGGTCTAGATGCAAAAGATGTTAGAGAAGTATAACAAAGCAGAGCAAAAGGAGGATTGAAAGGACAGTAAGGAGGCAAGGAGAGAAAAGACAAAAGGTAAGATGAAGAGAAGGACACGGGGAAGAAAACAGGAAGGAAAGGATAAGAAGGGTCACAGGAAAGGAAAAACAAAGAAACAGGAAAGGTGCAGTAGAACGAAAGATTTATTTGTGTGCCAGGTAACTTCCAGAGTGCCTCATATCAATTAATATTCAAAATCTCTCTCTCAAGGTAAAATGTTCCTGCTTTCTATTTTAAGAAACTGAGGCTTAAATTAGCTAAATAACTCAAAACCATATAACTAATCTAAGTGACAAACTGGATTAAACTTTCTAACTCCAAAACCCACAACTTTTCCACTGAAATCTCTACCTTCCAATTTGAAGTCAGAACACCTGGATTCGGATCAGATACTTCTGTCCCCTTGAACATTTTACTTAGCCACTTTGGGTTTTTTTAATAAATTTTTTTGTTGATTTCAGAGAGGAAGGGAGAGGGAGAGAAAGAAACGTCAATGATGAGAGAGAATCCTTGATCGGCTGTCTCCTGACGCCCACCACTGGAGATTGAGCCCATAATGTGGGCATATGCCCTTGCCCAAAATCGAACCTGTGACCCTTCAGTTCACAGGCTGATGCTCTATCCACTGAGCCAAACAAGCTAGGGCAAGCCATTTTGAATTCATTTTTGCAACTATATATTAGGGATTAGGATAATTGTCCTCCTTTCCCTCCTATTTATTGGAGATGGCAGTGAAATAATGTACGTGACAATACTATATACATTATGAAGGACTACCTAAAAATAAGGGATCACTAATACAGCAATAATCCATGCTGTGTTCTTCTTTTAAATCTTAAGTGTTAGAGCCCAAGGAAGCTCAAAGGAGTTTTCCACCATTGTAGCTGAAATTACTCTTAAATCAGCTGCTGATTTAAGAGTGGTCAAGAGTCTCTCTTTGTGCTGTACACTCTGGCAGACTATTTCCACTTGGATGCTTCTTTGGAGACTATGAGCCATTCAGAAGCAAGATAAGCAACTGTGAGATCTTCCAGTGTTGGCTGTACAATTCCACTAGCCTATGGAATATGAGGTTTCTACATTACTGCCAGAGCTAATTCAAGTTTTTCAACAGCATGCTTCCTCTAAGTTCCTTGCTCAAATTTTAGGATATCAGATTGAAGGTTGGAGATTACTTCAAAAATCTCAAAGACGACGACTTAGACAGTTAAGGAATATCCCAGTCACAACAATGAAGTCATTGAAATGACTTAGTCAACAAAACTAAGCAAGCTATTCCGTTTCATTACCCACCTTTGTGACTCATTGGATCTCTGAAGATGAGGCACCATCGATCCCCAGCTTATTTGCTACCTTAAGACAAATCACTCCTATTCCTGATCCTGACTTTACTCCAAACACACTAAGGTGCATGAAGATTACAAGGCCACTGCATACAGTAGTCTCACAGAATTCATTAAAGGAAATGTCCTTGACAACAACCTTGGATATTCTTGTTTTCCCTGAGGTCACTCCTTCTTTGCTATTAACAGCTACTTCATTCACAGATTTTGACTTTCAGAGAACTTCTACAGTATCAATGTTACTAGAAAAATTGGGCTCTACAGAGTGGGAAATAAATCCCTAATCCACAGAACAAAAATACAAAAGCATCCTGTTGTATCTGACTTCGTCTCAGAATCAATTAGCCAAGCTTAGTATTCACAAAGCTCTCCTTGCCTATCCAAGTACTCTCATTTTCTTGGATTCTCAATCTCTGAGGAAGTAATAGAGAATATAGCCACACCTTCAGAAAGACTATCTTCAATGACAACATTTCTCAGCAAATGGAGTGGCTCTGTTTAAGTCTACCTGAGATTTGCACAGTCATCTAAAAGTCTCTGATACCTTCAGCGTCAGCAAGGGAGACAATAGTAGCCTCCCATTTTCCCTTTGAGTTCACCCCTATGTTCACTGCAGCTTTATTTATAATAGCCAAAATTTGGAAGCAGCCCAAATGCCCATCATTAGATGAGTGGATAAAAAAGCTGTGGTACATTTACACAATGAAATAATACTCAGCTTTTAATAAAGATGGAAATCTTACCTTGTGCATGGATGGATCTGGAGAGTATTATGCTAAGTGAAATAAGCCAGTCAGACACAACTGCCATATGATTTCACTTATATGTGGAATCTAATGAACAAAATAAACTACCAAACAAAATAGAAGCAGACTCACAGATACAGAGAACTAACTCATAGCTGTCAGTGGGAGGGGGTAGAAGGACTGGGTGAAAAAGATAAAGGGATTAAGCAAAAATTTAAAAATAAAATTCATGGTCATAGGCAATAGTATGGTGATTACCAAAGAGAAAGGTAGGTGGGGGGGAGTAGAATAGGGTAAAGGGAATATAAATGGTGACAGAAGGAGATTTGACTTTGGGTGGTGAACATACAATATACAGATGATGTATTATAGAATTGTATACTTGAAACCTGTATTATATTACTAACCAATGTTAACCTAGAAATTCAAATTTAAAAAAAAAACACGTTTTTTTCATAGAAAATAGTAAATCTATATTTAAACAAAGAGTTTTCTCCTCCTCTACTAAACACTCAAGAAAAAATGACAAGCCTAGAATTAGCATTCAACATTTAAATAACATGTTTCTCACAACATGTTATGAGCTTCCAGATGAAGCAGCACAAGAAGACAAGTCACCAAGCATTCACAGTATAACCATGACATTTCTGAGATGAGCAGACCAAGGTTCTATTCAAGTAGAAAACCAAATAACCTAGCGACTTTCCTTTCCACTAAGTCTGTAATCTCCTTTGTGCTTCTCTTTCAATATGAAAAGTCAACGGACAGTAAATTTTTAGCAGAAAAAAAAAGGTAACCTTGTCCAATATGAGAAAATATAAATTTACACGAACTACCTGAAAATTTTGTTTTTAAATGGGCAACATAAAAATAATTTAAAATAAAAAACATTCTTTTTTTGAAAAACACTATATGTTATAGACTAACCAGCAAAATTTTATAAATGTCTCCTAAATTCTGATAAATTTTAATTTCTAAAAGTTGTCAGTCATTAAATAAATATATTTTTCTAAAGGAATACTCCAATATTTTGCATTTCAGACATTTTTAATAGTTTTATTTGGCAAAGAGAAGCCTAAGAATTTTTTAAAAAACATTTCCAGAGGGAAAACCTTTTACCATAAAATAAATTTGTGTGATTTGGGAGGACAAATCTCAAATGTATTTTTTTGACATATGTGCCAATCTTACAATTAATACAAAAAAGATAAAGTTAGTTGAAATATCTTAAAAATGTAAAAACCAGTCCAGGCAACATAACTATACAATCTTGCTGTAAAAGTACTTATATCAAATTCTGCCCAAAATATTTATGCAATATAGTAAATTTAGTTCCTCAAGTCACTCTTCACTGCCGGCTGGCTTTTCCATTTTCTGTTGTCTCCATTCTGAAAAACAGAAGGCAAAAAATGAATAGGTAAAATGAAACATTAACCATCCATATATTTTTTCTCCTTACATACCTTTCATATGAAATTAAACTCATATATTCATCAAGCAGAATATCAGCATCTTAGAAAAGATCGAAGGTTGGGGTTCCTCTAGTTCAGTGGTTCTCAACCTTCCTAATGCCGCGACCCTTTAATACAGTTCCTCATGTTGTGGTGACCCCCAACCATAAAATTATTTTTGTTGCTACTTCATAACTGTAATGTTGCTACTGTTATGAATCGTAATGTAAATATCTGATATGCAGGATGTATTTTCATTGTTACAAATTGAACATAATTAAAGCATAGTGATTAATTATAAAAACAATATGTAATTATATATTCAATATGTGTTTTCCGATGGTCTTAGGCGACCCCTGTGAAAGGGTCGTTCGACCCCCAAAGGGGTCATGACCCACAGGTTGAGAACCGCTGCTCTAGTTGGTCTCACTTCCTCATTTTGCAGAATAGTGAAAATTGAGGCCCAGAGAGATTAAGTGACCTTCCCAGTTTCCTTTCAAAGGCCACTTTTTCTACTATACTTCTGCAAGCAAAAGTAAGGAAAAAAACTTCTGATATTTAGTAAAAGATGTATTTCTTTTTTTTAAATATATATTTTATTGATTTTTTGCAGAGAGGAAGGGAGAGAGATAGAGAGTTAGAAACATCGATTAGCTGTCTCCTGCACATCTCCTACTGGGGATATGCCCGCAACCCAGGTACATGCCCTTGACCGGAATCGAACCTGGGACCTTTCAGTCCGCAGGCCGACGCTCTATCCACTGAGCCAAACCGGTTTCAGCAAAGATGTATTTCTTTTTTCACTAGAGGTTCCTTTGCCACACATTATCGAACGTTCTTCTAAAAAGGAGATTAAAATGATCAAACCTGAGATTTATTCAATTGAAACAAATTTCCTAATATTGTACTACTTAATCAAAAAATATTTTCCTCCATTATTTTATAGTTAGTATTACATATTAAGTTTTCGCTATGATTTTTCCCTTTATGATGTTTATTGAGCAATGAAAAAAATACTCTAAGAAGTAAAAACTTTCAGAGTTACAATCAATATACTAGTAATCATGCCTTTTACAAGTACTAAGAATCAAAGATGTTAATTTTTCCTCTTTATAGTTAATATGTATTGGTTCATAATATTACTAACAAAAATTGCTGAATATAACAAACAAGCAGTATTCATTATATTTTAACTTATTATAAGGCAATTAACAATAAATAATACAAACCCATTTTCTTCTTTAAGATGTTGATATAATTCAGCTCTGTTATTAACAGAGTTCAAACGTCCAGCAAACTCCTGATGTTTTCTGGAATTGGCAGTATTGATCCTATTACTCCACAAGGTTAATAAAGACACTGGTCCTGATGTTATATTGGAAAGAAGAGGAAAAGGAAGGATAGTTCATTACTTTGAAATTTATAAATTTAAACAATTTACCTTTAAATCTATTGTTTTATACAATTAAAGCAATATCATCTTCACCTTATTCAAAAATGTATGTGTTTAGGGGGTCCCAAGATCACCTACTAGTTTGGTGATTTGCTGGATGGTCTCAAATGACTAAACATAAAGTTAAAGCCACAGCGAAGAATCATTAGAGCAACATAGCAAGGATATGTAGCAGATCAGGAAAGCAAAAGTGAGAGGAATCTATTTGTAGGCTTTCTCTGTGCTCTCTCCCTCCAATGAGGGTTCACACCAAGTGCCTACTCCCACCAGCAGCAAAAATACAGCCACGTGTGTACAATACTATTGACAGAAAAGCCCATTTAGGACTTAGAGTCGAAGGTTTTTATTGGCTGCTGAGCACAGCATCGGTGACAGGAGCCTCTCCTGCCTCTGCAGCAGCGCTAAGGATGTCCGACTGTGGGTTTAGGCCCGCTCCCCACAGCTGGACATCCCCAAGGGCTCCCGGACTGCGAGAGGGCATAGGCCGGGCTGAGGGACCCCCACAAGTGCATGAGTTTTGTGCACCGGGCCTCTAGTAAATAAATAAAAGCCAAATTCCCAGATGCCAGCCAAGGGCCAAATCTGCAAGCAGGCTCTTCTAATGTTAATAGCCTCTGGCTTGCTACGTTAACTCTTTTCTGCACAATATGAAATGGCAACAGACTAGAATAGCTAAAACTATTGAAAAGTAGAAAAAAGTTAGTAAGACTCACCACCTGATTTTAAGACTTGTAGTAAGGATAGTATTGTAGTGCCAAGGACAGACACAAAGATCAATGGAACATAAAAGAAAACCCAGAAATAGATTCCCACATATAAAATCAACTGATTTCAGATAAAAGTACAAAGGCAATGCAATGAAGAGGGGATAGGCTTTTCAACAAATGCTGCTGGAGCAATTAAGATGTTAGTGTAAAAATATGAACACTGACCCATACTTTGCAACTTATTTTTTAAGAAACTCAAAATGGAGTTTAGAGTATTATTTTTATTTTTTAAAATATATTTTTATTGATTTCTGAGAGGAAGGGAGAGGGAGAAAGAGACAGAAATATCAATGATGAGAGAAAATCATTGATTAGCTGCCTCCTGCACGAGCCCACACTGGGGATCAAGCCTGCAACCCAGGCATGTGCCCTGACCGGGAATTGAATGGTGACCTCCTGATTCATAGGTCAATGCTCAACCACTGAGCTACTCCAGCTGGGCACAAATATTATTTTAATGTATTCTTTTAGAAGTTCTTTAATTTTAGGTTTTACATTTAAAACTTAAAACTGCCCGGCTGGCGTGGCTTAGTGATTGAGCGTCAACCTATGAGCTAGGAGGTCATGATTCAATTCCTGGTCAGGGCACATGTAGAGCATGCAGGAGACAGACGATTGATGATTCTCTCTCATCATTGATGTTTCTATCTCTCTCTCCCTCTTCCTTCCTCTCTAAAATCAATAAAAATGTATTTAAAGAAAATATTTGTGATGAGTAATGCACATATTTTTATATATAATACAAAAAGTATAATCATAAAGAGACAAATTGGTATCTTAGACTTCATCAAAATTAAAAACTTGTGCTCTGCAAAATCATTCTTAGGAGGAAGACAAGCCACAGACTAGGAGAAAATATCTGCAAACCATATATCCAACAAATGATTTGTATCCAGAATAAATTTTAAAAGTTCTCAAAACTCAACAACAAAAAAACCCCAGCTAAATTAAAAATGATCAAAATATTTGAATGAATTCTTCATCAAAACATATAAGCAGGAGAAACCAAGATGGCGGCATAAGTAAACACCAGAAATTGCTGCCTCGCACAACCACTTCAAAAATACAACTAAAAGACGGAATGGACATCATCCAGAACCACAGGAAGGCTGGCTGAGTGGAAATTCTACAACTAGAAGGAAAGAGAAAAGCATACCAAGACTCAGAGGAGGTGCGGTGAGGAAGTAAAATACAAAAGTGCAGAGGTGCATGAGGAACGGGCTGGCGGCTGAGGACACGATTGTCTCTTTCAATCGGGAGGGAGTCTCAAGCTCTGAGCTCCAGTTCCGGGCGAGTCTCTGGGGACCCAGATTCATACGGGGAGAAACTGGACTGTCTGGCATCAGTAGGAATTCGAGGGCAGCTTTCTCTGGGAGGCGCTCGCAGTGATTGCCCGCGCCTCTGAGGACAGGACTGAGAGCAGCCATACTGCTCGATCCGCCCACCATGTTGATCCCCTGGGACCCCGCCCCGCCCAAGCCGTGCACGGAGGCTTTTGCATATGAAAGGCCCGCCCTTTGTAATCTGAAAATTACTTAACAAACTGCAGCTGCCCCAAGGCCCCAGGGCAACTTGCATTGCTTTACAGCTGGCTTCTGCTGGGTAGTCTCAGGCAGAGGCTAGATTAGCACCTCCTTAGATCCAAGAGCCAGTGTACCCAGTGGTCAGAGTGGGACCATCCAATTACAACTCCTCAGATCCAAAAGGGACATACTCAGAGGGCAGACTCAGTGAGCATCAAAGCCCCACTGAAGCAAGTCTTGCCCCAGAAGGGTGTCTTCAGCACAGAAGTTCTCCCACTGCAGACACAGCTGATTCTCACAGCCAATTGGCCTGGAGGTCAATTCCTCCCAGTCTTACCTACAATAATCAAGGCTTAACTACAACAAGACTGTGCACAAAGCCCACAAGGGGGTGCACCAAGAGTGTCTACCTCAGGTAATTGGGGAGGCTGAGCCACTGGGCCCTAAAGGACACTTAGCACAGAAAGCCACTCTATCAACACAGCGAAGCATAAAAAAATGCAGAGACAAAGACAGAGGACACAAATGACAGAAATGGAGGAAAGCAAACTACTGGATATAGAGTTCAAAACCACAGTTATAAGGTTTTTCAAGAATTTTCTAGAAACCACTGATAAATTCAGTGAGACCCTTGAGGTATGAAAAAAGGACCAACTAGAAATTAAGCATACACTGAGTGAAATAAAGAATATTATACGGCGTTCCAACAGCAGACTAGAGGATCGCAAGTATCAAGTCAAATATTTGAAATACGAAGAAGCAAAAAACACCCAACCGGAAAAACAAAAAGAAAAAAGAATCCAAAAATACGAAGATAGTGAAAGCTATGACGCACACTGACCACTAGGGGGCAGACGCTCAACGCAGGAGCTGCCCCCTGGTGGTCAGTGTGCTCCTAAGGGGAAGCACCGTTCAGCCAGAAGCCAGGCTCACGGCTGGCGAGCACAGTGGCGGTGGCAGGAGCCTTTCCCGCCTGCATGGTAGTGCTAAGGATGTCCCGGGGAGCAGGCCTAAGCCATCAGTCGGACATCCTCCGAGGGCTCTCGAACTGCGAGAGCGTGCAGGCTGGTCTGAGGGACCCTCCGAGTGCACAAATTTCGTGCACCAAGCCTTTAATATAAAATAAAACCATAGTGAAATACTACTACATACCTATTATAAGAATAAAAAAAAAAAGAAAAGAAAAGTTTATTAGGTAAAGTTAAGAGAACAACAACATATAAAGGAGGTAATACAATCCATAATACCACTGCTCTAACAACTATAAATATTTCAGTCTTTTTTCAATGCCAAGCTACACCAATAAGATTGCATTTTAGTTTTTCTGTTACTGCATCATACAAAGAAAGCTGAATAGATTTTCTCCAAATCTATCTAGAGTTCATGTTTGAAACAGCCCAACCTTACATGAAGAATATACAGCAGACACAATATTCACTTTGGGAAGTCCTAGGAGGTTATTTTCCAAAGCAGATGAATCTGAGGTGTATTAAAAGGCCCATATAAGTTGCCAATAAGAAGAGACATTCGACTTAGGTTGTAAAATACAATGCAAGAAAAAACAAGTTTCAAATACCAGCCATGAAGAGAAAGTCATAAGGGCAGATAATGATTTGCAATCAAGTTGCTTCTCATATGGGTCCCTGTAATATTTTCAGGGTGAAAGATATCAGGGATCTATTTAATTTAATTAGTGCACGAATTTGTGCACCAGTGGGGTCCCTTGGCCAGCCCTATGGGATCGGGCCAAAACCAGGTCTCCGACATCCCCTGAGGATCCCAGGTTGAGGGCGCCGGCCAGGCCAAGGGACCCCACCAGTGTCAATATACAGAGTATAGCAAAAGTAGGTTTACAGTCGTTTGTATGGAAAATCCTATATAATAAAAGGAAAATATGCAAATAGACCGAACAGCAGAACAACCGAACAACCAATCAAAGCGTAATATGTTAATGATATACTAAGGCTGCTCAACTGCTCACTATGACATGCACTGACCACCAGGGGGCAGACAGTCAACTGGTCGACCAGTCGCTATGACATGCACTGACCACTGGGGGCAGATTCTGCGACTGGGGTCCAGCTAATCAGGACTGAGCGAGATGGGCCGGACATGCCCTGGAGCCCTCCGGTGGTCCTTCCCCGGCCTGGCCTGCACCCTCTTGCAATCTGGGACCCCTCGCGGGACGTTGGAGAGCCAGTTTCAGCTCAATCCCGCAGGCCAGTCCCCTCGGGAGGGCACCAGATGAGGGCTCATGGTTGGCGAGTGCTGCTGCCACAGCGCGAGCATCTCCCAATCATGACTGGGCGTGAGCCTGCAGCAGGAACCGTGGGGCTGGGATGAGTGGGAGTGGCAGGGAGGAGCTGCAGACGGCGTTAGACTGCGGGTTTCAGCCTGATCCCTGCATGCCACCCAGAGGGACCCCACCTGTGCATGAATTCGTGCACCAGGCCTCTAGTAATATAATAATTAATAAATGATAATACAAGAATAAATTGTTTTGTGTACTCACAGCTGTAAACCTACTTTCGCTCCTGTACCTTAGCAAGAGGAAAGAGTGGGCATTTGTGGTAGTAGTTATTCTTGGGCTACATAAATTTCACCCAATGGACACATAATCATTTAATCATTTTTCTTACTAATATGTGTTTTGGTTGTTTGCAACTTTTTGCCACTATAAATAATTTTGAGTTCTATATTCCAAGCAATGTTGAAGCATTGTTTAGATTAAACCTATTCTCATCCTAATCAATAGTGGCATATTTTGGCATATGAGGAGTAGAATAATTTATCAATACATTTATTCATTTTCCAGGCATCCTGGCAAATGCCTGAGAGGGAAATATAAGATCACCCTTATCTCTGATTTCAAAGAAATCAGTGAATTGGAGAATATTAGCATGTAGAACAATATGCACACTACAGCAGAAGTATATAAAAAACAAGCAAGCCTACCTTCTCCCTAAAATAAGCTGCCAATAATTGTAATCTGGCCAGCCCTGAGGTCTTATCACCTTTGGTGGGGCATAATGGCAAGAAATCAGTCCTTTGTCATACTATTTCCCATTTATCCTAAAAAGACTAAACCCAGTTTCCTTCAAGATAACTAAGGCCTACAATGATTTCAGAAGCTCCCAAACCCAAGTCATATTTTTAATGCTTAGAATTCTTGAAGAAGAAATTAAGTATAAAGAGAGAAAAGGCCTTATAATAAAAATATTATTTATAATAGTTTTACTAATAATTATTCATACCACATTTTATCAATATACTAGAGGCCCGGGGCATGAGATTCGTGCACTTGTGGGGGGAGGAGGGAAGTGGCGAGAAGGTCCCTCAGCCCAGCCTGCACCCCCTCGTGGATGTCCCACTGACGGCTTAGGCCCACTCCCTGCAGCTGGCAGTCGGACATCCTTAGTGCTGCTGCGGAGGTGGGAGAGGCTCCTGCCACCGCCACTGTGCTCGCCAGCCAAGAGCCCGCCCGGCTTTTGGCTGAGCAGCGCTCTCCCTGTGGGAGCTCACTGACCACCGGGGGCATCTCCTGCATTGAGTGTCTGCCCCCAGTGGTCAGTGCATGTCATAGCGACCAGTCATTCTGCCGTTTGGTCTATTTGCATATTAGCCTTTTATCATATAGGACTAGAGGCCTGGTGCACGAAATTCATGCACGGGTAGGGTCCCTAGGCCTGGCCGGTGATGAGGACCAATCAGGGCCTTCTGGCTGCCGGCTGGGGCCTCCCTTCCCCAGCTGCCGGCTGCCAGCCGTGGACTTCCTTCATTCCATACTGTCCCCGGTGGGCAGCACATGTCATAGCGAGCAGTCGGTCTCCCAGTCAAACTCCCGTGGGGGCAATTTGCATATTAGGCTTTTATATAGATAGATGGGTGATATTAGATGTTTCCCTAAATTCAGTAAGGGTTTAAGAAAAAGAATTTGTCTTAATTAACCTAGCACTTAGTATAGTGTCAGGAACATAAACAGATTCAAGTTTAGATAATTAAAATTTCTTAAAACACAAACTTTTAAGTACTTATTTTCCAGAGGCTTCATTAATGAAGGTATGGCACTACTTTTTTTTTTTAATACTGACAAATATATCTGCTGCCTATCTTCAAGGCTGTAAACAAAGAATCCCCTAAACAACAGGAACAGTTAGTAGCTCTTCCTGATATACACAACAATCTATCTATATATATAAAAGCCTAAGTGACCAAACGACCAAATGGCTGGTCAACTGGTTGCTATGATGTGCACTGACCACCAAGGGGGCAGACACTGAATGCAGAAGCTGCCCCCTGGTGGTCAGTGCGCTCCCACAGTGGGAGCACCGCTCAGATGACTGATGGGCACCAGATGCAGGGCTCATGGCTAGCTGCTGCAGCCTGGAGACCACAGCAGAGCGGCACCAAGCCTACCGAGCTGCGGTGGCAGCAGAGAGAGGGACCGGGATGAGCAGGAGCGGCAGGTGGCATTGGACTGCCAGTTTCGGCCCAATTCCCACAGGCTACGCCAACGGACCCCACAGGTGCACGAGGGCCTCTAGTATTAAATAACACTGCACAAAACAGAACTAAACTTTTTACAAACATAGCTATCACAGTTCTACCTTACCTTTTGATTTTTCTACTGGTGGAGTTTCATCCATCTCAACAAGGGGCTTTTTGTTTGGAGGTTCTGGGGAATCAGGTGAATCTTTTATAATTTCAGCTTCAGCCAATTCTTCTTTTCCACGTTCTAAGATGCCTTTTAATCTTTTAGAGGGACAAATAATAAAATTTAAAGTTTAAATATTTAGAAATCGAAATGGTTCAATAATTAAACTAGACTTTGCATATCAGTCTCAATAAAAGATAGCTGCTCTTACAAAGTAAACCTAGACACTAATCAGAAGCTAAATGCCAATCTAAAATCAGATAAGAGAACTTAATGAATTAAACACAAGTATCCCCTTTTCTTCATCATAATAGTGTAATAATTCAGTAATGTAGTTTGCTGCAAAATATGAAGAAAATGGAGAAAAATTTAAGAAGCTAACATCAAAAAGAAAAGTGATATTTGGAAGAAATATCACAATTTAATATTTAAAGATATAGGCCAAATACTACTTCAAATTATAAAGAATAAGTAATTTACTATTATTTGTTCCCTAGTTTATGTACTGTGGCTATGTATTTACATTCCACAAGTTAGAAACTTAATTCCAAGCTTATTCTGAATTTTCCAAGGGAACAAAAACACTTTCAAAATATACAGACTTCTACTTGAATAACACGGGGGTCTGAATGAGAATACCTTCCCCCCACTCTTCTTTTTCTACCCTCCCCTTCTTAAAGCGAGCCAATTCCGTTTCAGAAGTTTGGTGGCTCTAAGAAGTGAACTTCTAAGGTCAAGAGAATAAAAATGTTCTACACTCTACTTATTTTTGGATGAAATAATATAATTTCTAGAATTAGCTTCAAAATATTCCATGTGGAGTTGGACAGTGGTGGTGGTGAGAGTGGATGTGAAATGTGCCATTAACTGATAATCGTTCAAAGTAGATGATGGGTAAATGTGTATTCCACAGTAGAATAAATCTTTGAAGTTTTTCATAATAAGTTCTGATTTGTTTTAAGGGACATACCACATTGTCATTATAATATTTACCTGGTTCTTTGCCTGATTTCTGGCAAGAAGTTAGAAGACAAAGCCAGTTAATATGTTATGATACTTATATTTATAAATCACAAGCTAAGGAAAAAGATGTACTATTGAGGAAGGTTTTCAGAATTAGGACTATGCTCTTTCACTGTGCTATCAAGGGCATCTTTGCCTATTTTTATAACAGCATCATCCATATTTTGTTGTCATCACTAACTTACTTGCCTATCTCTAGCGCAACATTTTATGTACTTCCAAGGCAGTAATCTTATGCTAAATGCCTGGCATAACACAAGTATTCAATAATATTTACTGACAAAGAAATAAAACTATGTCTTTGATATTCATAAAACATAAATACTGACACCAAAATGTCCTAAATTATAATTTTCACGTTAATTAGATAAAAATTAAACACTATCTTTGCCCCCAATCATAAAATAAAATCATTAAGTCTAAGATCTTTTTGATTTTAAGAATGACAAAATCTTAGTTATAAATGAAATAAATACACATTAAATGAACTTCTATTAAATGAGGGTTGATCTAAATGCAGAATGTGATATGCCAAAAGGCACCATGGTGCTATATCAATATCAACAATCACCTCTCTAAATCTTGCCAAGTCTTCTCCAGTTCATAATCTTTTACTGCTTTCTCTGACTTGTCCTCTTTGTCCTCCCTCTTTCTTCCTCGTTTCTTTCGTTCTTCTTCTTCTGGGGGTTTGCTCCTACAGGCCATCAGACATTCCAAGACCCTTTGATGTTTCTCCGAGTTATTGATATGGGCTCTCACAAGGGTTTCTAATTCATTCCACATGATACGGTATTGTTCATCTCTGAAGTAAAGATTTAAAATAACAATCTTAGAAATACTCTTTAAATAATATTAAAATGTCACTTTCTACTGGTAAAGTAAAAGAAAACCATTAAACATGGACTTATTTTCTCTTCGTAAAACGTAAGGGTACAATTTTCAGTTATAATGTATCCAATTCTGCTATTCTATAGCATTTCACCTCAATTATATGTTTATATACACATCCATAAACATAATTTACATATGGAATAAGTTAACTTAAAATATACTATGTATCAAGTCAATATGATATATAAAGAAAAAAATTACCTTTTAGGGCCTTTTCCTCTTGTACCCACTGTGGAAATAGGTAGAGGATCATTTTTTCTTTCCATATCAACTAAGTTGTATATTGTTTTTTGACAGTTTAACACATCTTCTTCTGTCAAAGATTCTTTCACAATAACACTGGCTAATGGAACTACCTGTCACATTTAAAAAAACAAACCAAGAAAATCTGTCTTGAAAAACAAATATCAAAGCATGTAGGCAGAACTTCAATTGATTTTAAACATCACTGTGGCGAGATCATATATAACTTTCACTTCAATTTTCTGTTACTATTTAACTGTAGTAAACTCAGATATTTTATTCTTTGCTTCAGAAATGGTCTCTGAAAAGAATATATAAATAATCTAGAAGAGCAGTTGAAAATATTTAACACTTACCGCTTGCATGTTAAAAATGGTGGTTTGAGAAATAATCATAGGCCAGTAACGGGTGTGTTTTTCTAACTGATCTTTTGCTCGCTCCAAAGGGATCTCAAGACTTCCATCGATTTTATATCTGGGGTCTAGAAAAGGAGTTAATCTGTTTTCCCTCATAAATTCACCAAAATCCTAATGATAACCAAATAAGATAAAATTAGAAACTATTTTCTAATGTTTCAGTATGGATTACATGTAACAGTCTGTTTCCCTGATGTCTTCTGTCCTGTGATATGCAACAAAGCATTTTCTCCTACAGCTCCCCCTACCACCCACTTTTCTTCACTTCTATAATTTAACTCTTTTGTATCATATACAGAAAAAAGAATTAGTGAATCACTCTTTGAATGATGGAATTATAAGTAATTTATAGTCTTTCTTTTAAATATATCTATATCTCTAAATTTTCTACAATAAATATTTATTAGTTTCCTCCTTATTAAAAAAATTTAAATAATAAAGAAAAAGCCTAATCAAAAACAATTACTTACAGTATATAACACTTTGGCTTACAAAGTATGCACTCATACACATCAATCACATTTAATTTTCACAACCACCTCAAAAAAAAAGACAGCAATAAAATACCGAATATAAATTAGGAGAGGAGGAGTGAAAAATTAAAAGCAGAACAATGGAATTTCTACCAAAAATAGAAACAAATTTTTTTATAGGCATCCTTAAATAACACAAAGATTTAGTGTTATTTCAAATTAGCAGCAATCTACTGAAATGTTTTGTTTGCCATTTAAGTTACTAGAAATAAAGTTCCACTTAAAATATTAGCTCAAGTCAATTTCTATTCTTTTCTATAATTCCAGTACGTCAATGTTATTCAGATACTTCTAAGTATACACTGAATACATAAGGAAGACTACAGATTGATAAACAGCTCTTTCAAGCAAATACTGTTAATTAAAATAAATAATCAACTTCCCAAACTCCTTTTCGTCACAGAACTTAGCATATAATAGGCATTCAATAACTACTTGCTAAATGAGAATACACTCAAATCATAAAATTTATAGATATTAGAGTCTTACTGTGATCCGGTAGTCTGTAACTCTTCCTCCACATCCTTCACTAATTGAAGGCGGATCTTCTAGAATGGATCGAGAACTACTCAGGACGTGCAAAAATATCTCTCCTCCATGGCTACTAAGCATATGACTGATGACTTTGGAACCTGACTTTCGTGGTTGTTCCAATAAAACAGAACGACCTGTCAAAAGTAATGAAATTCAAACGGGCTCTTATTTTTTCCCCTAAGGTTTATGTCTAGATTTTTTCATTTTATTTATTAACCCTCATATTTTAACCAGCACTGCTAATTTAGTTTTTCTGTGTTTCAAGTCCAAAAAGTCTGAATTCTAGCCTCAGCTTTCTCTTAGTCACTCCAAGCTTACATAGCTATACAGGTGGTTTTCCAACATAAATATAGTGGTCTCTAATATAATGTTTGGTTATATTCTTCATTCAATTACAAGTTCATATGAAATTTTTCTCTTGGACATCAAGAAGAAAAGTGAGACAAGTGTTGGATAACCCTCAAGTTGTCAAAGCTATAAAACATTTGGAGGAGAAAATGAAGTCTAAATTCACTTCCACAATACCTACTTATCAGCATTATTATTGTAACTACTTTCTATTTCACATGACCAAATGTTATTTAATCTGGACTTTACATAGTCTGATAATCAAATTGTGCTTAATATAACTATGAAATTAATCTTATGATAAAGGCTGGCCAACTCATCTTATCAGTGATTCAAAAACTGAGTTGATCATAAGACTCTATTAAGAGAAGCTATTAGAGTTTAGATTTAGTAAATGAAATCCAGTAATTTGGTTTTCTAAAGAATTTTTTCAGGCCCTGGCTGGGTAGCTCAGTTAGAGTGTTGCTCTGATATGCCAAGGTTGCAGGTTTGATCCCCGGTCAGGGAACATACAACAATCAACCAATGAATGCATAAGTGAGTAGAACAACAAATTGATGTCTCTCTCTTTCTCTCTCCCTCTCTCTTTTTCTCCATTCCTCTCTCTCTAAAATCAATAAATAAAAATTTTGAAAATATATTTTTTTCACACAAGGAAACCAGAGATTTAAGGCCATGTGTGTAAGAATAACATAGTATAATATTTAAAATGTTTATGGTAAAGGTATAGTGTTCAAAGAAAAATAAGTCCATATACACTGTATAATTTAACATTCAATAGGCCAAGATAATGGTCTGTACTATATACTATCTTAAAAACAAAACATGCAGACTTTAATGGTAAAATTTTAAATTAAAAATACCAAAAAAATATATAAATAAAACTTACTTGGATACAATAGCCTGAAAGACATAAAGTCATCTTAATTTTAAACATTAGTAAACTAGTTAAGGGTATTTATAATTATATAACTTTAAAGCAGTTCTGGGAAATAAAACGGTTAAACTATGATGAAAAAAATGGCTTTTCCAGAGTTCATGACTTCCCTTGTAATAATCTCAGTCAAAACAATTAAATGATGAAAGTTACCATTTAGAAGAAAATTAGTAAGGCAGGAAGAAGGTCTACTATTTACATCTACAGGTGAAATTCGATAAGCGCCAGTGCAATAGTGTAATTCTGAAATAGAAGAAAATACTGATTTCAAATATAAACGAATATTTCCACAAAAGAGAAAAAAACACATACTTGTTTCTTAAATCCATATAACAATGAAAAACAAAAACTCCAAAAAAAGCAAATTAATGAGCCCTTTGTAACACTTTAAGAAACTTTTAAAATACCTACCGATGTTATTTGTCCTGGGTGTGCACCACTTTAATGTTATTGTTTCTTTAAACGAGCCTTCTCTACTGCTACCGCCTAAGTGGGTATCACCTTTAAAAATAAGTCAGAGAAACAGTAACATTACATTAAGACCATAAACTTCAAATTGTTTACCCAAGATTTCTGAAAGAGTTTTAAATTTTATAAAATACCTCTGGGAGAACATTTTTTTATGAAGTCTCCTAGAAAAATACCAAATAGAGTTTGGATATTACCTATGATTAAAATAAGTACTTGATTCCCCTCTAAATTTCTCATTAATTTAATCATCCCAATCACTGCACTGAAAGGCAATAGCAAAACTTTTTGAATTTTTTTTTTTTAAATATGGAACACTTCACGAATTTGCGTGTCATCCTTGTGCAGGGGCCATGCTAATCTTCTCTGTATCGTTCCAATTTTAGTATATGTGATGCCGAAGCGAGCACACTTTTTGAAATTTGAAGACTACAATTGCTCCCTTCTGTCACCGTCTATACATATAAAAGCCAAGTGACCGGAACGTTGGAAGGACCAGAACAACCAGACGCTATGATGTACACTGCGGCGGCCAACCAGCCTGATTGGAGCCCTGATCGGCCCTCCCAACCACCTGTGGCCCCTCCCCGGCCGGTCCCACCCCCAATCGCCCCCCACCCCAATCAGGGGCATGGCTGGCCAATCTCCTGCGTCCCCGCCCCGCCGCTGGTCTGGCCCAATCAGCCCCCATCAGGGCAGTCCGGCCGAACCCCACCCATACACGAATTCATGCACCAGGCGTCTAGTCCTATATAATAAAAGGCTAATATGCAAATCGACTGAAGGCAAAACGACCGGTTGCTATGACGCACACTGACTACCAGGGGGCAGACACTCAACGCAGGAGCTGCCCTCTGCTGGTCAGTGCACTCCCAAAGGGGGAGGAGCACTGCTCAACCAGAAGCCAGGCTCATGGCTGGTGAGCGCAGCAGCGGTGGCAGGAGCCTCTCCCGCCTCTACGGCAGCACTAAGCACTAAGGATGTCCTACTGACAGTTTAGGCCCGCTCCCCATGGAGAAGGCCTAAGCTGGCAGTAGGACATCCCCCGAGGGCTCCTGGACTGCGAAAGGACACAGGCCGGACTGAGGGATGCACCCCCCTCCCCAGAGTACACAAATTTCATGCACTGGGCCTCTAGTTAAATAATAAAATAAGTACTTGAAAAAAGCTTCAGGAATCTAAAATGCATTAGTTATACTGGATCCTAATGAATTTATGAGAAGAAACATAAAATTAGGGACCTAGAAAGTTACAAATGTATAACATTTAACAGTAAGCATTTTTTGCCTAAATGCAGTCTACAGTAAACAGATATTAATAACACTAGAGGCCCAATGCACAAAATTCGTGCAAGAGTAGGCCTTCCTTCCCCCGGCTACAGCAACGGTTTCCCTCTGGCACCCGGGACCCGGGCTTCCTTCCCAACCCCGGCTTCATCCGGAAGGTCATTCGGTCTAATTAGCATATTACACTTTTATTATTATAGATGATAATGAATAAATGCAAACTATAAAACTGACAAAGCTCTAAAGGAGATATATTGAGCACTATGAGGGACTTTCCAGAGAGATTTGACCTATGTTGAGACAACAGGGAAGGCTGCTTCGAGAAGTAAAAGTAACTTGAGTTCTAAAAGGGTGAAGTGAAAATAACTAAAGAAATGAAGGAGAGTATTCAGGCAAGGAAAACAGCAGATGCCAAAATATTGTGGCAGGTGAGAGCATGAAGGGTTTCAGGGCCTTTTAAGACATTTAAAATTCTGTTTTTATCTTAAGGGCAACAGAAAAGCATTAGAGGGTTTTAAGGTAAGGGGAGTACGTCCTGATTTACATCGTGAAAGATATTCTAGTTAGCAGGTCGAGTAGCCAGACACACCACTAAGGAGGCTATTATAGGTACTAGGTAAGAAAATAGTAGGCTGGACTATTAATAGGGAGATGTAATAGTAATGGATATGCAGATGTAAATGTATGAGATACACTTTGGTAGATAAAATCAAGTAAATGTGATCATATGCAAATATAAAGAGCCATCTGAAGACAAAACAGCCATCTACAAGCCAATGAGAGAGGCTCCAGAAGAAATCAACTGCATAGTCAACTTGATCTTGCATTTCTAGCCTCCAGAACAGAAAATAAATTTTCTGTTGTTTAAGCCAAAAGAAAAAAGAGAGAATGTGGTGATAGATTAGATATGAAGAATGACAGAGAGATGTCTTAAAGATGACTCTGAGGTTTCTGCCTTATATAACTGAATAGGCAACAGGGTCATTCACTGAAAGAGGGCAAAGTTCACAGGTTGTTTTGAGTATATTGAGTAATAGGTGCCTAAGAGACATCTTTTAATACACCTAACTTACTGAACATCATAGCTGAGCCTAGCCTACCTTAAATGTGCTCAGAACGCAATATCCAAAAAATGCTGGCAACACAGCACACTGTACAGTATTGGTTGTTTAACCTCGAGATCAAGAGGCCGACTGGGAGCTACAGTTTGCTGCTGCTGCTCAGCCTCATGAGAGTGTCATACTACACATCTCGAGCCCAGGAGAAGGTCAAAATTCAAAGTGAATGAGTATCACTTTCTCACCATCATAAAGTTGAAAAATATAAAAATCGTAAGTCAAACCATTGTAAGTTGTGGACCCTCTGTACAGATCTGAAGCTTAGAGAAGATATCTGGGCTAAAGTACAGGCCTACTCATCAAAATCCAGCTCTAATATCACCTCCTCTGCAAAGCTTGCCCAACTCAGAGATACAATTACATGCAAACCCTGTGTTCCCACAGATCTCTGTCCCTATTGCTACTATAGCATTTTGCATATGGTGTCCATGTCAATCAACAACTATTTTAGAGGAAAAGGTTGCGTTCCAAAGAATATTTTTACTATTTTTCTAAGTTTTAAAAATAAACATATTAAAAATTGATATTACCTCACAGGTTCTTAGTAATTTCCATATATTGTATTTTCAAAAACAAGTTATTTACATTCCTTTGTTAAACATGAATATATTTATTTACCTTAATAGTTTTTCTCCTGTTAGAAATTTTTGTTTAGAAATGGGTAGAATATTACAGTTCATCTAATCTAGCTTTATTTATTTACTTATTTATTTTCTTGATAATCCTCACCCATGGATTTTTTTTATTGACTTTTAGAGAGAGTAGAAGGGAGGAGGAGAGGAAGAGAAAGAGGAAGAGGGAGAGGGAGAAGGAGGAGGCGAGGGAGAGGGGGAGAGGGAGAGAGGGAGAGAGGGGAGAGGGAGAGAGGGAGAGAGGGAGAGAGGGAGAGAGGGAGAGAGGGGAGAGGGGGAGAGGGGGAGAGGGGGGGGAGAGAGAGAGAGAGAGAGAGAGAGAGAGAGAGAGAGAGAGAGAGAAAGAAAAATTTTGATGTGAGAGACACACATCAACTGGTTGCCACCAGCACACACCCCAACCAGGATCAGGGATTGAGCCTGCAACTGAGGTACATGCCCTTGACTGGAATTGAACCTGGAACCCTTCAGGCTGCAGGCCAACGCTCTATTCACTAAGCTAAACTGGCTAGGGCTAACATCTATAATAATAAAAGCATGATATGCTAATTAGACCAGACAGTCGAACAACCTTCCGGGCGTCCTTCCAGACGAAGCTGCTGCAGCAGGGGCTGAGGCAGGGGTGGTTAGGGGTGATCAGGCAGGCAGGTGAGTGGTTAGAGGTGATCAGGCAGGCATGCAGAGTGGTTAGGAGTGATCTGGCAGGCATGTGAGTGGTTAGGGACGATCGGCAGGCAGGCGAGTGGTTAGGAGCCAGCAGTCCCGGATTGTGAGAGGGATGTCCGACAGGATCGGGCCTAAACCAGCAGTTGGACATCCCGCGAGGGGTCCTGGATCACGAGAGAGTGCAGACCAGGCTGAGGGACACCAACCCCAGCGTGCACGAATTTCGTGCACTGGGCCTCTAGTCTTAATATATAAGTACATAAACTGAAGTATAGAAACACATAGGATTTGCTAGCTGGTGGCAAAGCTTTGGCTAAAACTGTTATCTCCTAACTCCAGAGTCCTAAACCATGCTGATACGGCTGCGGGAATCTGTTTTGGGAGAAAAAGCCTACTGAGTCACATACTTTTTAGAGGAAAAAAATATCACTAAATTTCAAAACAACTGATTTATATCCAGGCTTATAAGTTGTAAGTCCATCACCCTTTCAAGTTGGCTCCTATTCTTTTCCCTTTCCCAAGGCAGTTTGCCTAGAAAAGAAAAACTATGACATGACTTCAATGGCTCTCTTTCACAATAGCTTAGTCTTAGTTCCATGACCATTAATAAGTGACATTGTCAAATAAGTTTGGAAAGGAATGAACTAAAGTCAATCAGGTTTGTTTACTGAAAAGCACCTCAAAGTTGTTTGTAAGCTTCCATATGTTAGATCTCACAAATTAAGACTTTCCAGTGTCTCTTACTCACCACTTTTCAAGAAATCTACATGTGCATCTTTGTGATGAAGCAACTCCACATCATAATTGGCAGATGTGTTAGCATGTTGTTCTTCCTTAAAGCAAAATTTAAAATCACTTGGTTTTATTTTCCAAAGAATGAAGTTATTTATTAACTATTAATTTTGCTCTTTGTTTACAATGAAATAAAATACACTGGATGAAAATTACCTACAATAATGGTATAGTTTGCTCAGTAATTAATCTATTTAAAGATGCAACAGTTTTCCACTGAAATATAAACTATTAAAAAACTACTTGCTATATATTAGTAATACAGTATCTATTTTTCTTATATTATGTCATGAGTTAACATGTGATTAATCCAGAAATTTTAGAAATTTTTTTACTCCAAATGCACTGTCTTGTGCAAATATACACAAATTGTCTGTAAACAAATATAATGCAATTGAAATGGTTTATATATATTGAAAGTGAAATCATTGTTTAAAGGAGGAAGCAGCATCTTTAAATACCTACAATAAATTAACAACTGTCAATTATATAAAATAGCAAATACTGACTAATAAACAAGTTTATTAGTTTTCCTAAATAGTAAACAGGAATTTTGATATTATCTATTTACAAGAAAAAAACAGATTGAAGAAAGAATCACACCAGCAGCACACAAATATAATCAAATTCTAAGAGCAAGGCACCTGTCACCCTCAGGCTATTTTTCTTATAACTCATGAAATTATATGCACTGAGTGGCCAGATTATTATGACCGGCCAGATTATTAAGACTACCCCATCAGTACTTCATTGACACTTCCAAAAATACTGAATATTGAAAGCTTCCTAAGCAAATACTCTCAAGGTTTTATTATTATCATTATTTGCATAACTAATTCACTTCATTGTACTGATGGGGTGGTCATAATAATCTGGCTGGTCATAATAATATGGCCACTCAGTGTATAATAAAGTACGCCTATTACGCTACTTTACTTGTTGTTTCTATGGGTTAAAGTTACAATTTCTATTAAAGAGCCAGCCAATGGTATAGGAGAAAATTAATAATCAAAGATATTTCTATGCAATTTAGTGTTCATCATATGGTGGCAAAACAATGTAATTGGGACTTATAAGAAAGTCTCTTTGCATTTTTAGATATGATGGTTACTTTATTTATAAACATAATCAATAAAATTAAAATTAATTCCACTTAATAAAAATTCATTTAAAGCTTACTATGGGTCAGGCATTGCGCTAGTTCTAGACAAGCTAATGATACTATGATGAAAAGGAACAGGTGGCAACAGGTTCCTAAGAATATCCATTAATAAAATCCCAAGACTCACACCTTTGGTTTTTCAGGTAAGGTAATAAACTTATTTAAAACTATGAGCTATTTTTCCCTAGTCAGACTTATTAGTTACAAACACCTTTATATTTGTTGGGCAAAAACAAAAATACAGAAAATAAAAGACCAACTAGAATACACAATGTAAGGAAAATCTAATAACACAACTGTCAGAAAAAGAATCACAGAAAAAGTGGTCATTTAAGATAGAGATTATACTTTAATGAAAATAATGAGAACATGGTTAAAAACAAAAAAGCTGAGTGTTCTTATTAGAGAGAAAAATACAGCATTTTGTTCTGTGATCCTTTCTTGTTGCTTTTCAGTACTTACTGACCTGGTCAAAGACACTGAATGTGGGCTAGCAAAACAGAAAACATGATATGGGGAGAAAAATATTAAGGTTCAATTAAAATAAATAATATATGTCAAACAAATGTTTAAAAAGCAAAACAGCTTTCAAAATAGCAGGAAAAAGAGCTGCCTACCTTCATTGGAATATTTGTAATAGTAGTTGAAGCCAAGTCAAAATGTTGCTGTACTAAAATATTTAATTTGGTAGCAAGATGCCGTCCTGCACGAACACTATGAACTTCACTGGTTAAAACAGGGGACAACTACAGAAAAGTATGAGAGAAAAAAAAAACACCCATAAAACATTAATACACTGTAACCGAATGCTAAATAGTTTACTTCAACCCATAAAAAGTGACTGTTTTCATTTTATAGAATTTGGAAAAATACAAAGGTCCATAAATTAACTATGGTCATTATTTTTTAAAATATATTTTTATTTATTTCAGAGAGGATAAGATAGAAACATCAGCGATGCGAATCATTGATCAGCTGCCTCCTGCATACCCACTAATGGGGATCGAGCCTGCAACCCAGGCATGTGCCCTTGACTGGAATCGAACCCAGGACCCTTCAGTCTGCAGGACAATGCTCTATTCACTGAGCCAAACCGGCTAGGCACTAATGATCATTATTTTAGCAATAAATGTTCAGACAGTCATTCATTTATTCATTTAATAAATAGGTACCAAGCAGAATTTACTACATTATATGCCAGAAACTGTGTGAGCTCTTGGAGGATACAGCAGTGAACAGGCAAATTCCCTGTCCTCTTGAAACTTAGAGTTGTTGATTTAAATATATATTTTCATTTATAATTTTACTTCTATTTATCTATATGCAAAATGGATCTGAAGTGGCCCATAGAAATACTGTAGAAAAATAATTCATTTTGAGAAGACAACACCCGAAAGATAGAACTACTTAAAAGGAATGTGGAAATCACTACAAACATCATATTTTATCACCAATAACTATGATAAGGCAGCCAAACTTTACTTACAACAAGGTAACACAAAACTTTACTCATTCCAGGGTAAAAATATTTATTGTAAATAAGCTTTTTAGCTATCACAAAGTAAAGCCAACATAATGCCACATTATCAAAAGATGCAGGTACAAGTTAGTAAAAAGGGGGCTTATACTGGAAATCACCTAAAAACACAACAATAAAGCTAATGACCTAGCAATACCACTTAACTACCAAGCACTCATAGACTAAGGTAATACTTCACATGTTTATATTAAATAAGGCTAAGAGAAAAACCTGAACCTAAAAACATACACATTTAATACAAATAGGTAAATACATAGACCACTGACGGAGAATATTATGTGATGCAAATTCTTTTAACAATCAACAGATTTATCTTTTCCTTCAAAAATGTTCAAATCTATTTAAAAAGGAAAACCAAGGTTGGAAATTAGTTTTTTCCCCCATCTGATTGGGTAAAGTTAATTTCTAGGTTACTAGAGTGTATTTTTATTAGAGTATATTACTTTTCTAATGAGAAAAAAAGTATTTTTAAGGAATAAAACATCATTAAAGCAACTGAAACCCATCGCAATAATTGAAATTTTAGGAACAACGCAAACTATGTATGGTTTTACAACACATTTAATTAAATGTCAAAAGGCAAGCAAAAAAGAAAAAAAAAATTTTAATCTACACCTGAGGATATGTTTTTATATATTTTAGAGAGAGGAAGGGAGAGAGAGAAACATTGATCCGTTGCTTCCTATACACACCTAGTCTGGGGATTGAACCCGCAAGCTAGGTATGTGCCCTGACCAGGAAATGAACCCAAAACCTTTTGGTACAGGATGAGGCTCCAAAACAACCGAGCCACTCAGACAAGGCTAAAGAGAAAACACGTATAAAATGTACTATTATAACACAAAGAACCGAACTAGGTGTTTTGCTATACAGGTTCTTTGAAAACTGTAAATACAGGGTATGGCAAAAGTAGGTTTATAGTTGTTCTGATAAAAAAAATACAATAATGAATAAATAACACAATAATTAATAAATAATAATGCAAAATAATAAACTATGTGTTTCGTGTTCTTACAACTATAAACCTGCTTTGCTCCACCTTGTATTTTCTTGGCAGAAAATGTTGGCAATGTGATCATTATAATGCTAACCCTTGTCAGCATTTACTATTAACTAAAAATGATCTTTTCTCTATTACTTCTGTACTTACCTCTTTTTTGGAACGATCAGATACAAGGCTGTCTTCACCAACAGGGTAGGTATGGATCAAAACCAGCTCACACTTCTGAATCTGCATGAGACTTAAAGAAAAACTTTCACTTAGAATATAAAAATACATACTGTTCTTATAAATATGGACACAAATCTCCTCAACAAATTGCTACTAGCAAACCAAATTGAGCAACATATAAAAATAATTATACATCATGACCAAATGGATTATCCCAAGAATGCAAAGTTGATTTAAAATCCAAAAATTAATTAATGTGCATATCATATCAACAGAAAATTTTTTAAATCACATTATCTCCAAAAATACAAGAAAACACATTTGACAAAATCTAAAACCTTTTCAACAAACTAAAAGGAAACGTCTTTAGGTAGATAAATGGCAGTAAAAAAAAAATTTTTTTTTAATGTGATAGTATATACCAAATGAGCAAGAGTTGAAAGTTTGCTTCTAGGAAGTGGGGAAAGACTGGAATGGAGATAACTGTTTTGCTTTTAGTAATAGGTGATGTCTTTAAACTACGTGCATTCAATGTAAAGATTCTAGGCAAGTAAACTATTGAGAGTTATATTTACCAAAACAGTATATCTCTATAATCAGATACTACTGTTAACACTAAAGCTAAATATTTAGAAAAACTGTATAACTGTTGTACTTGTATGAACATTAAATGAATAATTCATATTAATTAAATTCAAATGCAAAAATAATTTTTGTGTTTAAAGGATAAAATAAAAAGAAAATTCTTATAATCAGGTATAATTTTCAATATATAACTGTCACAGAGAAAATTAATATATTGTGCATTAGTTTCCTTTTTACTAATGTTTTTTAAAGACAAAACCAGACAATACTAACCTGGACTTATAACTTATTATTCGAAGAATACAGAACTTGTAATGCTATAAAGTTTCCCCCAACTTTTTATTTTAAAATTTCCAAACCTACAGAAAGGTTGAAATAACAATACTATTCAATGAATACTGATATATCCTTAAACTAGATTCACTAAGTGATAGCTATATTTGTTCTATGTACCTAAATAGACATACACTTTTTTAATTATGCCATAGATAGTAAATTGCAAAGGAAATACTTCATTCCTAAATACCTCAGCATGCTTCTCCTAGTGAGAATAATCTTATTTATTAACAATAATACCAGCACTCCACTTAAGGAGATTAATAATAGCTCAATCTCATTTAGACTCCACATTGCAACAGCCCAAAACATATTTTTAATAGCTTTTTGCTTTAAAAAAAATTCATATACTGCAATTCATTGTTTTGGTCCATAATGAATAATGCCACTGATAATTTATTCATTTTATAAATTTGAAAGAATATGAGAGCAAGCTATCAAAACAAATATGCATTATAAATTTATACATTATGTTACAGTTCTGATCACCTTTCTTATGGGAAAAAGTAAAATCTTATAGTGAAAGGGAAAATAGGGAATAAAATTTTTGATCAAACATATCTTTAGGCTAATTTGTAGAGTCAGAAGAGAATTCAAGAAAAATTTATGTTTCTATTAAAATTATTGAAATAATTAGAATGAAATATATGACTATAAAATTTAATATTTATTTCAAATGTAGATTATACTCACTGATCTGAATTTGCAGCAAGCTTGTTATGCTCATGAATCGTTTCCTGAACACAGTCCTCAAGCATTCGCACATGACTATCACTAGTGGCATAAAAAAGATACAACAAACTTAAAGGAATAAACAGTAGGAGAAAAAATTAAACACACTGTTCAGCTACAGGTATTTAACATTACTTCAGTAAGGATTGTTTTTAGGTGCTCATTCACAACACCAAATAACCAAATGAAAAACTAGTGAGAAGTCAAATTAACCTACATGATGACAATCTAAAGTTTTCACTGAGATGAGTCTTTATTTTAGAATTGGATAAACAAAGCTTCAATATTAGAAAGGCCACTTGTGATACATTTAAATGCTAACATATTGTCCCTACTTTTTAAAATAAAAGCCCTGAAAGAGTACAATTCCCTCTGTGAAAGAGTTACTGTTATTGTCTCACCTTTTTGCATTAGTAATGCAAATTATTCTCCCCCTATTGCCAACACGTTCTGCATTCTCCATTAGTAGAGTACGGGCCTCATGTTGGTATTCTGTAATTTTACAGAGGGTTTCCACTGCTGCAACGAGGCCATGTAGAATACTGCAGCATTCTGGATCTGCCCGTGGATTAGGGGGCCCAACAGCAGCTAATGCTGCCATTAGCTAAATAATGGGAAAACAATTATGGTGACAAGAGTATGCACGAGTCAGACAAAGACATCACAAGAAAAGTAAACTATAAACTAATATATCTTATAAATATGGATTCAAATATCCTCAACAAATTACTACTAGCAAACCAAATTGAGCAACATATAAAAATAATTATACATCATGACCAAGGGGACTATCCCAAGAATGCAAAGTTGATTTAAAATCCAAAAATTAATTAATGTGCATATCATATTAACAGAAAATTTTAAATCACATAATCTCCAAAAATACAAGAAAATGCATTTGACAAAATGTAAGTCCTTTTCAACAAACTAGAAATAGAAGGAAACCTCTTTAAGTAAATAAGTGGCAGTAAAATTTTTTTTTTAAATATGGAAGTATATACTAAATGAGCAAGAGTTGAAAGTTTGCTTTCAAGTGGGGAACGACTGGATTGGAGATAGCTGTTTCACTTTCAGTATTAGGTGATGTTTTTAAACAATGTGCATATATTATCCTATATTGATCAAAATTTTAAATTATTTTTTATTAAAGTATTACTGAAACATCAATGATGAGAAATTTTCAAAAAAGCCACAGTTCAAAACCTGAATCATACCTCTTGCAAATTTTGGTCTTCTTGAGTCCAGGAATTTAAAACATGTGCTCCAGAGTCACTCACAATGAAATTCACCTAATAGATTTCAAAGAAATAATTAGTACTCAACTCCAATTCCATCTGATCACATCATATTTAAAATGTAAAGTTTGCTACTACTTAATAGTAAAAAGAATTAAAAATAAAATAATATGAGGTCTCTAGCACTGATTTGTTGATTGATTCATTCATCCATTTTATAAGTACAGAATGCCTAGTACATGTCAGGTGCTATTCTCCGCGCTGGAGTATGGGAATATAGTGAGGAATAAAACAGTTCTATCACAATGTGGGGAAAATAGAGTTTGGCAGGTGTGGTAAGATAAGACAGCAGTGCAGGGAACCAACAAATAAACAAGATCATTTCAGAGTGATAAATGTGAAGAAAAAGATGGTTAGTTACTTCAGGTTGGTTGGACAGAGAAGGGCTCTCTACACAAGTTGCAACTGAAGGAAATTCAAAATGACCAAAAGAAATCAGCCATGGAAAGAGCTGGGGATAGAGAATTCCAGGTATAGTGAACAGCAATCGCAAAGGCCTTTAAGTGAGTACCCTTAACAGGATGAAGTTCGGAGCAGACAGAAGAGCAGGAGATAAGCTCAAAAAAAAAAATAGGCAGTGGCCATAACACATAGGGCATTGAAAGTCAAAATAACTAATTTGGACTTTATCCTAAATTTTTAAGTAAAATTCAACAAAACAAAAATAGTATCACTGGGCCAGCATGGCTAAGTGGTTGAGTATCGACCTATGAACCAGGAGGTCATGGTTCAATTCGCGGTCAGGACACATGCCCAGGTTGAGGCCTCAATCCCCAGTGAGGGTCGTGCAGGAGGCACCCAATCAATGATTCTTTCTCATCATTGATATTTCTCTCTCTCTCTCTCTCTCTCTCTCTCTCTCTCTCTCTCTCTGAAATCAATAGAAAAATCTTTAAAAAAAATATTATCAAGTAAGGTGAAATGAAATGATTGCACCCTTCTCCCAAAAGGAAACATAGTCATCATTTGATATATTTTCTAATATATCACCACCTCAGCTTCATCTCCAACATGACAGTAATAAAAAAAAAAAAGGCTGATATTCAGATGGTACTAGTACACACCAGCACAGTCTGACAGACTGCTTACAGACAACATCCCTGCTGCTTAGGCTAGCAACAATCAACGGTCAGTGCCTGTTCCATTTTGGTGACTATATACTTTGAATACTATCGTAGTAATTAGCTACCTTATAGGATTGTTGTGAGAATTAGAGGAGTTAATATACATGAAGCCCTTTGGAATACGCCTGGCACCCGTAAGTGCTTCATAACTGTTAGCTGTTACTGTTGGTCCCAACTAAATACACATGACATTTAATCCCAAAGGGGGGGGCTACATATCACATTTTTAAAGTGGTAAACAAACAGTTCTAAATTTACAGCAAATTCATATATAAAAAATGTTACAGGCAGTAAGTACATTCCCCAAATTTTGCTTGTACTTCAGACTCACCAGTTTTCTGAAAGGAAATATATCATACATTATTCTACAGTATTCCATGGAAGATTCTACTGAGCAAGTCCACAATGATTTAGATATAGGGGCCAATGGGATGATGCCTTGGGTCCTGTTCTTCACCAGCATATCAAACTCAACATGCTGTCTGCATGATTCTGCCATGTAAGGGCAGTGATCCACAACAAAGACTGTTTTATGAGATTCAGAAAAAATCTTCATTTTGTTTTAACCTGTAAGGGATAAAATATATTAGCCAAATATCTTATACATAACCTTTAAATCTTAACATTATTTCCAATGTGTCTTTTCTTCGAGAAGATTTGGAAGATTCAGTATCCAAAGAAATGTGTTCAACAAAGGACAAGATTTAATGAGGTCCTGACCACAAAGTATCAATTCAAGGGATGAGCTACATCCTATTAAGCTGTCACTCTATCAGTCACAGGCAGAATTACAGTCCATACATATATTTCTTTTGCTTGTTGAATGAATTTAAACTGAGCAAAAGAAAATACTTTTACAAATAATTGTACTTGATCCCTTTAGATAATACCAAACATTAATACACGACAAATACTTTTTTTCAAACACACTTTTGATGAGCTTTGCTAACTGACAGCAATCACATACAAATCCCCAAACTAACCCAAGTCAGCGGTTTTGAGCTTCCCTCCAAAAAGTCTCCAGACTTCTGAAAAGGCAAGGGGATAGATTGAACAGGAAACACAAGTGACAGCAATAGGGAAGACCAAAACACAACAGACATCTAACATAACTGCATATCGGGTCTTCGCATTCGGCAAAGGACCCCAAATTCACAATGCCCCCCTTAGCTTTCGAGCCACCGCAGTCATTGACCATGCAGAACAGTAAAACTTAGGTGCTACCAAGCGCCTGGGTGGGAAGGAGGAGGAACTCTCTTAAAACTTTTTCTTATACGAACTCCCTTGCTTCGTTAATAAAACCTTATGCTTAATAGACAATCCACATTCAAAAAGCACATGGTAAAAGCAGAAGTGTTCATGAACACGAACTGACTTTTTACGATCCTGCTATTGGCTTCTCCTTGCTTTCGCACGCATTTCCCCTTCATGCAAAACTCTTCTTGGAGGAATCGCGACACCCTCTGCGGGAGGGTGCGGGGTGGACAGCACAAGGTGAGCGGGTAGGGAAGACCTCAGGGCTGAGGTTAGCTTACTTTCGTGCCTGGTCCTGAAGTGGAAACGCACAGAGGCCATGGACCACGGCCGCTCAGGCAAAGGCTGCTGGTTGGGTGGGGAGGGCCAGCGCACGGTCAGGAGCGTCTGGTACCCACGGCAGGGGACTGGGCTTTGCCCCGCTCATCGCTCAGCACACCGCTTCTTCCCCAGCTTCCTAAGTGCGGGAGCGCGCGCGCGAGCACGAACACTCACACACCGGGATGCGCGCGTGCGCACAGCACTCTCCGACGGCCCGGCCAAGCCGCCCTTCCCCCTCGGTGGGCCAGACGCCCAGGTCACTGAACGGGGAAGAGGGCGGAGCCAAGAGAAAAAAAAAAATGCCTCCGACCCTCAAGATTTCCTACCCGCTAATTTTCCACCATCACCCATTGGGAAGTATGTTCCGGGCAACCTGAGAGCCTCCCCATCAGCGAAGTACCAACCACAACACCGGCTAAACCAGCCACGGGCCCTGAACGCAAGGCCCTCCCACCCGGGCTCCCCTTCTCGGTCTCTTCACCTAGGCCGGTTTCCCTGGCAAAACTCGCGAGACTTGGTGAGAAACCAAGCGAAAAAAACCTGAGTAGGTTAACGGGGCGGGGCTTAGACTGGGCCCGCCCCCACCTCTCGCGCAAGTCAGGGAGAAGCTGCAAGTGAATCTCTTGGGTCAGCCCCCCCACGGTGACGCAAGGAAGGAAATCTCGCGAGGTTGGAGTGCTGGTGGGAGCGCTAGTCTGACGCGGTTCCCGGTCCAGTGATGGGGCCGACCCCTGCGGACCCCCCAGTTGCCCGCCGACTACCTCAGTCTTGTTCTAGGTCTGCGCGCTGAAGACGCTGAACAGGCGGAAGGACTCTCTCCCCTTGCGTGCGTAGGTCCCCGTTGGCAGAGGCTTTGAGCCCTGATCGCCAAAGCTGACGGCTGCGAGGGACTGAGATCAGAGTAAGTGGAATAAACCCGGGGGCCAGAGCAGGCGAGGGGAGCCGTTAGCTTCCTTTGCCGGGGCCGCTCTGGTGCTTAGCTCCTCCTGAGCTACCGATCGCCCGGCCCTCGGTTGCCCCCCGCCGGTTAGCCCCTCCGGGGAGCCGTACTTCCTCTCCCCGGCCTCAGGTCTGAGCTCCTGGTTCCGGGGCTGCAGTGCGGAAAGTTTAATGAAAAGCTTTGGCCCTGGCCCTCGGGACACACCTTCCGTCTGTTTTCTTGCTGCCTAACCCACCAGGGAGCTCACCGTTGAGGGGAGGGAAGGGGGACCCTTTCGGTTTTCACTTTACCTCTTTGCAGCATAGGACATAGAGCACTCTTTTCTCCTTCTTGAAACTGCCGTCTGAGGATTGCTACTCCTTCCCTGGTTTTCTTCCTGCCGTTCTTCTGTACCCCATGATTGATAGTGGGTCCAGTCCTGCTGGCCAAGCTGGGAACCTGCGTCCTTGATTCTGCATTTCCACTCGCACTGCACTATGTTATTTCTTCTTTCCCCAGAATGGTGCAGGTGCCCTCCCCCAGCTAAGCTTCCCCGCCATCATCCTTCCCAGTGAGTTATCGTTCTGAACTACACATCTGTTTATGTCGCTGCCTAAACTTTTTCGGTCACCGATTTTGCCGACAGAACTGTTTCCTGATGGGTAAGCAGTACCATTCAGGACCTCTTACTGTCAGTCCCAATCTAGTTTGCCTTCTTAGTCTCGTCTTGCTTCTCCAGATACCTTACTATCCGACCACACCAGGCAGCTGGCTGTAGCCCCAAACATGTCGTGCACTTTCACAGCTGTGTGCCTTTGACATTTAAAAAATATGTGTGTGTGTATATGTATGTATATACACACACACACACATATATATACTAGAGGCCTGGTGCACAAAAATTTGTGCGGGGGGGGGGGGGGGGGTCCCTCAGCACGGCCTGTGCCCTCTCGCAGTCTGGGACCCCACAGGGGTGACTACTTGCTGGCTTAGACCCGCTCCCCAGGGGATTGGGCCTAAGATGGCAGTCAGACATCCCTCTGGCAGCCTGGCAGCCCTCGGGGGATGTCCACTTGCCAGCTGGGAGCAGACCTAAGCTGCAGTCAGACATCCTTAGTGCTGCTGAGGGGGCAGGAGAGGCTCCCACCACCACCGCTGTACTGGCAGCCATCAGCCTGGCTTGTGGCTGAGCAGAGCTCCCCTGTGGGAGTGCACTGACCACTAGGGGGCAGCTCCTGCATTGAGCGTCTACCCCCGGTGGTCAGTGTGTGTCGTAGTGACCAGTCATTCCCAGTCCTTCTGCTATTAGGGTCAGTTGGCATATTACCCTTTTACTATATAGGATAGAGGCCTGGTGCACGGGTGGGGGCCGGCTGGTTTGCCCTGAGGGTGTCCCGGATCAGGGTGGGGGTCCCGCTTGGGTGCCTGGCCAGCCTGGATGAGGGGATGATGGCTGTTTGCAGCTGGTCACACCCCCTTCAGGGTGGGGGTCCCCACTGGGGTGCCTGGCCAGTCTGGGTGAGGGGCTGAGGGCCGTTTTCAGGCTGGCGGGTGACTGAAGCTCCCAACCTCTCCTTTTTTTCTTTTTTTTTTTTTCTTTTTATTCTGGGATTTATTTACCTTCTATGGCTGTCACTGGAGCTGAGAGCGGGCTTTAGCTCTGAGTCTCGCCTCCAGCTCTGAGACCTTGGCTGCTGAAAACAGGTATCTGAGTTTCTTTGGCTTCTATAATTGAAACACTGTTGCAGCTCCAGCTCTGAGGCCCAGCTGGCTGAAAACAGGTTTCTGGGGTTTGTTTAGCTTCTATAATTGCAACATTGTTTCTTAGAGTGCAAGCTCAGAGCCCAGCAGCGGCAGGCGGGGAACCTTGGCTTCCTCCATCACTGGAGCAAGCAAGCCTCCTGTTCGCTTCAGCTGCCTGGCTGCTGGCCGCCATCTTGGTTGGCAGTTAATTTGCATATTGCCCTGATTAGCCGATGGGAAGTGTGTCGGAGGTACAGTTAATTACCATGTTTGTCTGTTATTAGATAGGATATAATTTACATGCATTTTTCTTGATTTTTTTTTTTAGAGTGTAAGTTTATGAGAAAGCCATACTATGCCTTTTTCTTTTTCTATTCCATGTCTATTATCTATTAATTGACATTAGAGATACCTGCCTGAGCAACCCAATAGAAATTTTTAATTAGAGTAGATTGTTGACATTTGAAGACACTCAATGGCATATCGGTAGTCACAGTATTTCTGTTTGTCCAACTATAGGATACTGAATTTTGGGGTAAAAGAGAAAGAAGAGTGACTTGAATTTCTTTAAAATTTTGTTAACCAAAATCTAAAATTAACAGCTGTCAGTTGCTGTCATAGGTGGGTGGTGGTTTCTCTTTTATCAGCAGCAGAATGTTCTGAACCCGCTGCCAGGAGTCTGACTGTCAGTGTCTGTGGGTGGTAAAGTGGGCGAGTATATAGCTAATGCAGGGGGAAAACCTGCTTTAGAAAAATTTCACCTGTAATTTGGGCCCACCTATAGGAGATAATGTAAGTAATAATTAAGCATGATAAAAATAGGTAGATAAATGAGAATACCCCTTTTTAAATGTTTTATTTAACTGGAATATATTTTTTAAACTTGTTAGAGGGGTTGGAAACAATCTCCCTCCCACTCCATTTACTGACCCAAAAAGAGAGGGGAAACACAATGTTTTTCAAAAAAGGTCGCAAAGTTAATGCATATTATAAAACATTCTAAACTTTTCTGTGGTTTCACATACAGGAAATGAACATGCAGATTCTTAGAAACTCTGTGTCACTGTTTTTCTGAAATGCTAATAAAATAATGCTTTGAATTACCTGATGTTTAAAATTCATTTCTCAGAATAGCATTATTTTTATAGTTACAAAGCAAAATTTAAATATAGTTTATTTTGATAGTAGTATTTTTTTAGCAGTCTAGAGAATACTTTTTAAAGTGAATGTTAATTGTAATTGAGAAAGCCTATCAGTACACATCCATTGGTATTATAATTAACTCTAATGTCTAGTAAAAATGGATGCTAGGCTTTTACTGGTTAGAAAAAATATTTGAGCCCTGACCAGTTTGGCTCAGTGGATAGAGCGTCGGCCTGTGGATTGAAAGGTCCCAGGTTCGATTCCAGTCAAGGGCATGTACCTTGGTTGCGGGCACATCCCCCGTGGGAGGTGTGTAAGAGGCAGCTGATTGATGTTTCTCTCTCATCGATGTTTCTAGCTCTCTATCCCTCTCCCTTCCTCTCTGTAAAAAATCAATAAAATACATTTAAAAAATTTTTTTGACATTTTGTTATTTCATTCTGCATTAACACTCCCATTTATTTTCTAGTGCTGGCTTGAAATGCAATTTTTATAATATTTTGGTGGACCTGTTGGTGAAATAGAGTCGGGGAATTTGCTCTGTTTTTCCAGCCAGGAATACTGAGATAGTTTTTATTTATCTAAAAGCAAATAGTGTCCTGAGATCCACCTTGGCTCCTGAGTAGAGCACTAGCCTGGGTATTGGAAATTCTATTTCTGGTACTAGCTTGACTCCTTCCTTGCTGCATGGTGCTGTCATTCATTTCCTTTCATTTGGAATCCCTGAGTCTTTCCTCATTGATAAATGGGAATACACTTGTCCTGTTGACCAAAGGACATTATTAGGTAGTAGTCCTCAGGTTCAGAAAGCTACTAACAGTTTGAATTAATTAAAATGATTATTTAGCAGTTTTATTTTATTGTACAGTGCTCTAGAGGTTCATTTGGGTTGACTTAGGTTAGAGAGAAGGCTAAGACTAGGTAACCCAAAATGAAATATCACCTCATGCTTGTGGGAATGACAATCATCAATAAACAACAAATAAGGATGTGAAGAAAAGGAAACCCTCATACACTGTTGCTGGGATTGTAAACTAGTACAGCCCCTAGGAAAAACTGGAGGTTCCTCAAAAAATTAAAAATAGAGCTGCTATACAATCCAGCAATTACACCTCTGGGGAATTTATCCAAAAACAAAACACTAACTAGAAAGATATATTAATTGTATGTTCATTGCAGCATTACTAGTAAGAGCCAAGATATGGAAGCCACCTAGATGTCTAACAATAGATGAATAGATATATATAAATCTCATGGTGTGTGTGTGTGTGTGTGTGTGTGTGTGTGTGTGTATTCTATATATATAAAAGGCTAAGTGGCCATCCAACCAGTAGCTGTGATGCTCAGTAACCACAGGGGGCAGACGCTTAACGCAGGAGCTGCCGAGCTACGTGATTTGACTTGGCAGCGGCAGTTCTTGGGTGATGTACCCGGGAACCAGAGAGGAGGGAGCCGGATTCCTGGGTGCATCACCTGAGAACCGCCCTCTTGCAATCCCGGACCCCTCAGGGGATGTGGAGAGCCGGTTTTGGCCTGATCCCCACAGGCCAGGCCGGGGACCCCACCTGCCAGCGTGACACATAGAGGCCACTTTGGCTGGTCAGTAGTGTGTGTAAACATTATCTCAGGTCACCTGACCAAGCAAAAGCTAGGAAGGATCTTACAGTCAGATTGACCACAGAATACAGA